CTTTCATGCGCTGGTGCGTTAAATTTTTAACTATTTTCCAACGTTTGACTATTTTTGCATAGACATAAGTACAAAGCAGTGGAAATCATAAATAGGCGTTCGCTCGATGGGCTGAATTGCACAAAAGGTATAATCGCACCGGCTAGTCTGGTGCGCGCTGCTGTTTATATTTTATTTCTGCAGTACATGATTCATTTTTGTTCCATTACCTTCTACTGTGATTTGTTGTAAAAACACCCGTACGAAGCCACTGTTCTTTCCATAGCTGCATAATTCAGGATTCGCCAATGGTATTTTTAGAGAGCACAGTGATGGCGGAGTGTCTGTTTTTTTTTTTCAGACAAGTGCGCGAGTTGCTGCAAGCAAATCACTTGTCTCAGTTGGAGAAATTATTGTTGGTGCTCAGAGACCTCACAACGGCGCAGAATGCACATGCACGCAAAGGTGGCCTCATTGGCCTTGCAGCTGCTGCAATTGCGCTTGGAAAGGTAGAGGTCATTTTTACCTTTTTTTAGTTGCTCATATACAGCTGTATTCATATACGAGTCATTTAGTGTGCTACGGTATACCAGCATACTGTAAAAGGCTCATTGTACTGTATTGTATTGTGCCATACACTGTGTCATACCATATTCGCCTTGTAAAAGAAGGTATAGTTTTTAGCGCGCAATAAGTTTAATTAAAGGCAGCAAGTTTAATATTTCTTTGGTAATACTTAACACTGCAGTCTTTTGGGATGTGTTTTAAAAAAGTTTTCGCTTATTTAATTTGGGTAGTGAGAATTGTACTTAACTTATCCAGACTGTGTTCTCCATAATTTCGAGGTGAGATGGCGAAATAAGCATTTCATGAATGGAGGGATTACTGACTTTTATTTTGACAGCACTGAAAGCCCCTCACTGAGTGATCTTGGTGATAAGCAGGCAGTTGTATAGCCTAAAATAGTTGTCGTATTTTAGAGTACATCAGCATACACGTCGCATCTAATCGAGCCTGTTCTAACATGCTTCAATGATCCAGATCCCAGAGTGCGCTATTACGCTTGCGAGGTGGTTTTCTTCCCCCTTTTTCAATCTCGTTTTCATGCAAAATTGTCGGTCTTATGGACCTTCTCAGATTTATTTTCAGTCACTGTATAATATTGTGAAAATCTGTCGCTCCTCGGCACTCTCTCACTTCAATGAGCTTTTCGACACTCTTTGGAGGGTAAGTTATTTTTTGTTTCTTCCACAATATATATTGAATTTAGCAATTCCTCGCACATTTTTACACTATGTATTTGAATTTAAGCTGTCCGCAGATACAGACTTAAACGTACGCAGTGGAGCCGAACTTCTGGATCGTTTATTGAAGGTTTGAAATTTTTTGATTTCGTCTCGCATTCTTT